CCAGTTGATACTCACAGATGTAGCATGTTTTTTGGCTCGTAGCACATTTTTATCAGTGAGCTAAGGAGCAGAAACGGCTCTTTCGACCGTAAAGACTGCAGATCCCTGGTCTATCCTAACTGTTTTACTGTTTATTTGTTTTCATTATTATCTTGTTTTACCCACAGTGTGATCCAGGTGGGTGTCTAATTGAGCTGACCACTCAGCTCTCTATCATCATGGGTGGGAAAGCCATCTGGAACAACATTCAAGAAATCCTTATACCGTAAGCTGCCATAATAAAAACATAGTTGAGGTATGGGGGAAAGCATGTAAGACTATTACAAATCCTGTTTTTGTTTTACAAAAAAGAGCTGTAAGAATTATCACTCAAACACTACTATTATCCATCTAATATATTATTTTGTAAACTGAAATTATTGAAACTCTATGATCTGGTTGATTATAACATTCTGTTAGTTATGTATAAAGCACACCAAAACACATTATCTTTAAACATCCAGAAAAACTTTGTAAAAAAAAAAGAGGACTGTTATAATCTTAAGGGGACAGAGACGTTCATGAAACCTAAATTTAGAACTAGTTTGAACGAACGGTGCACCTCAATCCAAGGAGTCAGATTGTGGAATAATCTGGGAGATGATATTAAACGTGCCAAATCACTACATGTTTAAAAGAATGATAAAGGCTAGATTGTTAAAAAAATATGAAACAATATAATCCGTGCATATAATTTGTTCTAGAAAGATTTGATGTTTTTGTTTTGTTTTGTTAACTGAGGATCATTATTGCTTGAATTTAAACTTGAGGAAAAAGGGGCAGATGTAATAAGATTCTTTCTTCTCTCTGCCACCTTTCATTTCATTTTATTTTTATTTTCTTTTTATTGTACATAGAATTACTTTTGTTTTTTTAAAGAAATGGATAAAGTTTGAAAATAAAATAAATACAAAGATATTTTCTTGGATTGTGAGATGACTCTGTAACGTCACACTGAAACCCATCACTCCTCTGCAGGTGGCTGAAGAACCGGTATTCCTACTTCTGCTCTGGTAAAGTCATAGAGAAGGAGAGACCTCGCTGGGAGCAGGACTACAAGCTCCAGGACCTGTCCAAACTGGGACTGTTCTATGAATATCTTGAGATGGGTAAGGTCACGTTTTGGTCATTCTTTAACCTGACGTAATGAAACCCTGGCTCATGTCTGCATCCTGTGTCCCTTACAGTCATCCAGTTTGGCTTTGTGACCCTCTTCGTGGCCTCCTTCCCCCTGGCTCCAGTTCTGGCTCTGATCAACAACATGTTTGAGATCCGGGTCGATGCCTGGAAGTTCACCACTCAGTTCCGTCGCATGACGCCGGAGAAGGCCCAGGACATCGGGGCTTGGCAGCCCATCCTCCAAGGCGTCGCCATCTTGGCCGTCGCAACGAATGTAGCRCTTTTAAACATTCTGTAGTTTCATCGTACGCAATGTCATTTTAACCATTGTAACCTTTACTACAATTGTTTCTTGTTTCATTGTCTCAACAGGCCATGATCATCGCATTTACATCCGACATGATTCCACGACTGGTTTACTACTGGTCCTTTTCTGTCTACCCGTATGGAGACAACGTTGACCACACCATGCAGGGTTACATCAACAGCTCCCTGTCCTTGTTCAACATCAATGATTTCCACAATAACTCRTTAGGAATCACAGCTGATGAGCCTCGCAACATCAGCGTTTGCAGGTATGAAAAAAGAAGTTGACCCGTCTGTTCCGTTTCCTTGTGTTTTAAATCGACATTTTTATTGTTACATTTGAAATATTGCTCTTGTGTTCAGCTAAAATGTTTTTTTTTGTTGTTGTTTTTTTAATTTTCATGCCAGATTTTTACACAATCTTAAACAAAAATGAAGGAACAGTCAGTTTTTGTGTGGTGAGATCAGAAATAGAAATTAACACATTTTCTCTTTTAGGTATCGAGATTATCGGTTTCCTCCTGGACACCCGAGACAATACGAGCACAACATGCTGTACTGGCACGTGATTGCCGCCAAAATGGCGTTTATAATTGTTGTAGAGGTGAGATGAAAACCTCCTCAACCTTTTTTTATTATTATTAATTTTAGATCTTTAATACATTTGTTCTTTTTCTTCTCGCAGCACATTGTTTACTTCACCAAATTCATCCTGTCCTACGTCATCCCAGATGTCCCGTACGCAGTCAAAGAACAAATTAAACGAGAGAAGTACCTGACCCAAATGCTCCTCCATGAAACCAACCTGAAGTTGGTGAGCAAACGCTTGAAATCATCTCTAGATGAAGAGACGAGCGAAGCAAAAGGGCACGAAGAACATGAATTATGATACAAATATTTTTTAAAAAAGAAACAAGACTCGTTTACGTTTTTATATCAGTTTCTACAAGGTTTTTGTTGCATCCATAAAAAAAACTGTTAATCCCTCCCACCGTGTGAATTACTCAGCAGCCTGAAAGACGACTTCTTATTTTTGGAGTTGCAAGGCAGGATGAAGAAACCACTCGTCTTTAAACTCTCTGTTTTTGCATCGAACTTCCCCATCATGTTTGGTTATGTCAAGCTGGAAAAACCTTTCAGCATCTGTCATTAGGGGGATTCCACCACTTCTTTTCATCAGATTGTAYAAAGTGCAATAGCTAATTATACGTTGTGAAACAAGTAATGGCAACGTCTTTATCACRTTTTTAAAAATGCAATTAAAGCGTCCTTATGAATATTTTTAAACTGAAATACACAAATATCAGCAGCTCACTTGAAGCATATTCATACATGTCAACCTCTTCTGATGTTTACCTGTATAAAGAGCCTCGAAAATCCGTAAATTTGGCAAAAAATCCRTACAACTCRCACCCGGGGCGGTGTCTGYGGGCTGCGGACATCAAAGCGCCTGCTGCTGCGAAGCAGGAGGGAAGGAGAGCGGAAAAAGTTCAATACTTCTTTCTAGCGGCAGAACAGGTTGGAAGATGGCTGTTTGATGTTATTTATTGTTTTTTAAATCATCCTACAGGCTCTGACATGTTAGATAAATTTGAAAATGAGGTTTTGAAAAAATCTGCAAGACTTGGAAAAAATCCGTGAGATTGCTCTATTCGTCCATATACCTGCAAAATGACGTAAAATCCTTATAACTTACGGAAAATCCGTACAAGTTGTCATGTATGCATATTTTAGACTCCTAATGTGTCTTAGATGGGTAAAATATTAATTATTGCTCCAAAAAGAACAGATAAAATATATAATTTTTTATCTTAAAACTCATTTTTACACCAAGTGCCTTTAAATGATCAGTGTTACATACAAATTTTGCATTGTTTTTCCACATTAATGCAATAAATATTGAATGTTTTATTGATATTTTTATGCTCAGTCTGTTAAAAGCCAAAGTGATCTGTCAAACAGATCAATATGTAACAAGTGTTGAAATATACTTTGCTTTGTTTGTTCAAATGTGTTGTTGGTTATAAATTCATGCTGATTGCAATCATGCCGTGACAGTTATAATCTGTAAAAT